ATCTCCGTTGGTCGATCGCCGAGGGGCTGCCCATCTTCCGCCCCCGCTGGTTGGCATGGGCTTTCCAGCGATGCTGTTGCGGCCCCGCGGGGGGAGGCGCGTGCCGCTGGCGGGATGGGCAGAGCGCCGACGCGCGCGGCGACCTCGCCGACGGCGCCCGTGGCGCGTTCCAGCGAGGTGGCGCCCCCAGGGCCCCCGGCGGCCGCGCGCCCGCGGTCGCTGCTCGCGCCGCTCGCTCTCTTTCTGGTCCGCCCTCTCCTCTCCATGAGGAGTCGCTCGGCGGCGCCAGAGGGGGCTCCCATGGCGGTGGGCTGGCGCGCGGAGGTGGCCGGCGAGACGACTGCCCTCCTCCGCTGGCTGCCTGAGTGGGCTACCTGTTCCAGGGCGCCCAGCTGTGGCTCCTCTGGTTCGCGCCAGACGGGCCAGACGAGGTGGGCGACACTTCGGGCCTGGTTCCACCAGGTCCTCCAGTAGCACGGGTGCATGTTTCGAACGGGCGGCGTGTGCCCCGTGGATTTTCCCTTCTGGCTGCTCCCAGTTGACGTCTTGCTTGCGGACCGCCTGAAAGATGGTGGAGAGCTCCTCGCTGCCCTCGGGCAGGGGCCATCCGAGGCGTTGGATTGTGGGGCAACGTCGCCGAGCGAAGCGGGGCCGCCGCAGCTGCAGCCGTCCTCGACCTCGAGGCATTCGGCCTCGGGTGTCCGGCTCCCCGCGCGCACGATGTGGGGGGCTACCAGGGGGCCTCGGGGGCTGCGTTGTGCTCTCGCACGCGCGTTTTCCGTGGAGCACCCCATCGGGGTGGCTGCCCCCAGCCCAGTGCCGAGAGGCCACTCTGGCAGCGCCGATTCCCCCGCGGGGTGACGGCAGGGTCTGCGAGGCTTTCGACTGGACCAGGCTCGGAGGCGGCGACGCTTCCGGAGGTCGAGGCGGCCGCGCGCCGCGTCGCCCGCAACGCGGGCGTTCCCTGCCTCCCTCCGTTCTCCGCCTCGCGGCGGAAGCGGGCGACCTGCGTCGCCTCGAGCCCGGCGGCGAGGGAGAGCGGCGCAGGTGCCGCCCCCGGGCTGCTCCTGTGGTGCGCATGCGGCCTCCGCGTTCGCTTCGCTGAGGCCGCGCCAGCCGCCGCAGCGGCCGCCCCCGCGGCCTCGGGGCTCGGGCTTATCCTGGCCCGCCCTCGCGCCCCGCGGGCCCCTCGCGCGCCCACCTGCCTCGATCGGCGATCGAAGTCGGTGGATGCTTTCGAACAGCGGCTCGTGGAGCATTCGCGTGTCGCAACCGTCACCTTGTGCCGCAGCGGCGTTTCGCTTGCTCGATTTCTCGCCGTTTTCAGCGTGTGACTTTGTGGTGCGGGATTCCCGCATTATATCCTGGTGCGCACTAGCCTGGGCATCCAGTCCATGCCCGCCTCGGCGCGGCGCGTCGCCAAGCAGTCGAAGTTGGCCGAGCCTCCTGAGCTCCGTCCTTCGCTGCCCCGTGGCACTACTTCGTGCAATGGTTGGCCCGGGTCCTCTCGGGGGTTGCCGCTGATGGCAGCGCTGCTGCTCATTGTTTTCACCATGTTCCCTAGACCTGGTGAGATTCTGGCGGCTTGCTGCCGTGACCTTTCCCTGCCTGGTGATCGGCTTGAATCCAGCGGTGGCACCTTCCCCTCCATACTTGCGCCGAAGACCCGTCGGACCTATCCGACGCAGCATGCCCGCTGCTCGGACAGGTCCGCGGTGGGGCTTTTCGGGCAGATGTTTCAGAACTTGTGCCCCGCCGATCCGCTCGCGCCCTTCGGGCAGCGCGCCTTCCGTACTCGGTGGGGCTACAGGTTTTTGGCTTTGGGCGTCCCACTTGCCATAGCGGCCCCAATGTTGAACGTTGCGCCTGCCTGCCTGTTGGGTTCGGGGGCGACTGATTTTTTACATGGCCACTGAACACTTTCCTCGCCTCTTCTGGCGTGGGCGGTGGTGCCGAGCCTCTAGCGCGGAGCGCTGTCTGCAGGCTGCCGCTGCTTCGTCAGTTTCATCTGCCATCCCTGCAGTCGCGCGAAAACGTATTGCCTTCTACGCCGCTGCTTGCAACAGCTCAGTGACTCCCATCCTTTTTGTTGGCCCTTCCGTGTGGTCAACTCAACTCGCGGCGGCCAGCCGAAGCCGTGCCGCAGTGCAACGGCCTTGAGCACGGGTGCGGCTGCTTCGCCGACTTCGCTGCTCAGGTTGATTCCACCACCTGAGCGGCGCCGCGCGAAGACAGCTCGCAAGCGCAGGCGCGTGAGAATGACCTCTCTTGTTATCCACGCCTCTTGTGCCCAGGCTGTCTCTGCAGCTTCTCGGCCCTTTGCCCGTTTCTTCCTCCTTTGCCAAGGCTAGCCTGTGGCGCTGCTGTTGCTGCTTTGCCGGCTTCGGCGACTTGGTGTGCTCCACCGTCTCAGCGGCGCCCCGCGGCCCGCGCGGGTTAGGCTGGCCCGCCCCGGTCTGGGCCTTTCGGCGCGCGCGCGCGCCGCGGCCGCCGCGCGGAGACAGCCCGCAAGCGCCGATGCGGGATAATCCTTTTCCCTCTCCCCCCTCCCCCCCTTCCCCCTTCCGCTCATCATCTTCTTCTTCTTCTTCGCAGGTTTGTTGTTGTTGAACATTATTTATTCTAAAGAATAATTATTGTTGGGCCCCCTGGTGCACGCCCCCCCTGCGCCGCCTAGGCCGCAGCTACATTTTCATCATTTTCGTGAGGAAGCCTCAGGTAAAACGATGTGATCCAGATCCGGTTGTTTTGTTGTAATCCGTTTTCCCTTGCAAAAAACACTATAAAATGACATTTCTTGTTCTAATATAATCAAATTTCAAGAATCCCTTGCAAAAAATAAGGTAAAGTGGACATTCGCGCGCGCAAGACGAAATCCTTCCAAAAGCTTAGTGTTCGGAGCGATTTTAACATAAAAACATCAAAAAACCAATGGTTTTTCAACAAAAAAATGTCAAAATCTCATCCCGCGCGCTCTTGCGGATTCGTAGGAAACCCAACACTTTTTAAACATTTCTGTCAAACGGGCTTTTGCGAGCAACTTTTTCGAACTTCTGCGACAACGGTTGCGCACCTGCCAGGGCCATCATCCCTGTCAAATAATACCATGCGGGACACATTCGTTTTTTCTTCGCGCGCGCACGCCGAAATCTCCATCCGTGCCATCAGGGACGGGCGTATGCCAGACGATGACGAGCACACGAACTCGTCTCTTTAGAGCCGCGGCGGGGAAAAGACGGTGGGTGGGCGTGCAAGCGCCGTTCCCGCCCCTCCTCTCTCTTCTCTCCTTTCCTCCTTGTCCTGCTCCTCCTCCTCCTCCTCCTCCGGCGGGGGGCGTGAGGATCCGGCATCGCTCACAACCATCGGGACAACCATCGGGACAACCATCGGAACAACCATCGGGACAACCATCGGGACAATCATCGGGACAGGGGACATCGATCAACCAAGGAACCATCAGGACAACCATCGGGACAATCATCGGGACAACGATCGGGACAACCACAACCATCAGGACAACCATCGGGACAACCATCGAGACAACCATCGGGACAACCATATCCTCTCTCTCTTGTGTATTCCCACATCCCTCAGGAATTTGCCCTAAAGATGTGATCAACTATCTTGTGAGTACGTATCATGTGTATCATGTGTATCATGTACCATATGCATCATATGCAACAGATGTTCTGTGGAAGGCTTAACAACTTCTGTGGGTTAACAAGGCTTAACAACTTCTGTGGGTGTACGAACGTAGGCTTAACAACTTCTGTGGGTGTGTACTCCACGCCAGTGTAGTAGCCACGGTCGTCCGCAGGCCACGAAGTGAAGTGTCCGAACGTCATAGGGCGGGAAGCTGGGTGTGGGTGGTGGCGAAGAGTCGTGTGGATATTTGGTAGAGCTTGCACTGCCCCCCCACAAAGTGGGGGTATTGGCTGGCGTCGCATGAAAACCCTGGCACTGGTGAGAACACTGAGCGTTCGGGTAAAGTGATTGTTGTTGTTGTTGTTGCTGTTGTTGTTGTTGTTGTTGTTCTTCTTCTTCTTTTTCTTCTTCTTCTTCTTCTCATTCGTATTCTTATGATCCGTCCCTCCTCCTCCTCTTCCTCCTCCTCCTCTTCCTCCTCCTCCTCCTGCCCCCCTCCTCTTCTCCTCCTTCTCCTGCTCCTGCTCCTCCTCCTGCTCCTCCTCCTCCTCCTCCTCTGCTTCCTCCTCTGCTTCCTCCTCTGCTTCCTCCTCCTCCTCCTCCTCCTCCTCCTCCTCTTCCTCCCCCTCCTCCTTCTCCTCCTCCTCCTCCTCCTCCTCCTCCTCCTCGCCGCCCCCCCCTTCTCCTGTTTCTCTGCTTCCGCCTCCTCCTCCTCCTCCTACTCTTCCTCGTCCTCCTCCCCTTCGTTGTTTTTCTCCGGGGGAATCTGATTCTTCTCCTCGCTCTTCCGACGGGGAGTGGGTGAACCTGGCGTGCTTTGGTCGGGGTGCCTGCGGCGTCGTGGTTGGGCGTTCCGGAGAGGGTCCCGGGGGCTTCTCAGGGCCTGGTTCCGGGGGGCGTCTCCGTGGGCCTATCGGTGTCGCTAGTTTTGGGCTGCGCAAGACTGCGCTGCGTGAGATTGCACCGATGCAAGCGGCGGGGTTTTGTCTTTGCGTTCGAATTCCGTGGATCTACAGAAAGCCATTCATTCCCGCGTTTGCGGGGTCTGTGGTTTCCGCGCGCCCGACCCAACGATTTTTCGTGACATGGGTCCCTGGACATCGGGATTTCGCGTTCGGGATTGGTTTCCACCCTGGATCGTTGATTGAGTGCCCTAGGGGACGAAAGCGCCTCCAGAAGTCGTACTGAAAGGACGTCGCGATTCCGCCCCCCCTCCCTCCGCCATCCCTCTTCCTGCTGCTGCTCGTCGTCGTCGTCGTCGTTGTCGTCGTCGTCATCCTCCTCCTCCTCGTCCTCCTCCTTCTTCTCCTCGTCCTCCTCTTTTTCGCTCACTCCACCCCCCTCCCGTCCGGCAGGAGAGCCCGAAACCCGCGACTGGCAAAGCGCAGGAGGAGGGCTTCGACTTCAGCATTCTGGTCAGCCTCTTCTGGACGGCGGGCGCCCATCCCTGCCGGCCCCTGCTGGCGGGAGGAAGGAGGGAGAAAGGGCGGACGAGGGTATAATGATGCATGCCACGGAGACGTCAGCACGTCCCCCGCCACCGTTCCCAATGAAATGCGAGTCAAAACAGGCCTTATCAATTGGGCCAAGCATCCACATTCGGGGGAAACTACAAAGGGGTTAGTAGGGAGGAGGAAGAAGAAGAGGAGGACGAGGAGGAGGAGGTGGAGGAGGAGGAGGGGGAGGAGGAGGAGGAGAAGGAGGAGGAGGAACGAGGAACGTGGGAGAGGAGGAGGAAGAAAAGGAGAAGGAGGAGGAGGAGGAGGAAGAGGAGGAGGAGCAGGAGGAGGAGGAGGCGGAGGAGGGGGATGAGCAGGAGGAGAGGAGGAGCAGGGAGGAGGGAGATGAGGACGAGGAGGAGGAGGGGGTTGGGAGGAGGAGGAGGAGGAGGAGGAAGCAGCGGAGAAGAAGGAGGGAGGAGGGGGAGGAGAAGGAGGAGGAGCAGGAGCAGGAGGAGGAGGATGAGGAGGATGAGGAGGAGGAGGAAAGAGAGGAGGAGGGGGTGGTGGAGGAGGAGGGGAGGGAAGAGGAGGGGGAGGGGAGGAAGAGGGTGGGAGGAGGAGGAGGAGGAGGAGGAGGAGGAGGAGGAGGGAGGAGGAGGAGGAGAGGAGGAGGGGGGAGGAGGGGGATGATGAGGAGAGAGGAGGAGGGGAGGAGTGGAGGGAGGTGGAGGAGGGGGAGGAGGAGGAGAGGAGGGGGAGGAGGAGGAGGAGTGAGGAGGAGAGGAGGAGGAGGAGGAGGAGGAGGAGGAGGAGAGGAGGAGGAGGAGGAGGAGGCGGAGGAGGAGGAGGAGGAGGAGGAGGAGGAGGAGGAGGAGGGGATGGAGTAGGAGTAGGAGTAGGAGTCAAGCTAGCCAGCTCGAGCGAGTCAAGCATGGCATGCCCAGTCCCACCCGCCCTCCCACAACATAAGAAGCAAAGCTGGCACAACTGGGGGCCGAAGTCACACCGGCCAGCCGGTTTGGTACAGCTGATGCGGCCGCGATGGCGGTTGCCGACGGGAACTGGCGAGCGCGTGTTGAATGCCGCGCACGCATTGCCAGACGAGTCGAGAATGGCCCGGTACACCGCAGGAAGCCAGAGGTGGCCGGAGGAAGCCCGACGGTCTGACAGGACACCCCAAAGCATTTTTGTGAAAAAGCATTGGGTTTTTGATGTTTTTATGTTGAAATGCTTGCAAACACACGGTGTTCGGTAGGATTCTGACATGAACGCGCGAGTGTGCTCTTTGTGGTATTTTTTGCACAGGATTCGCGGCCTGGGTGCATGACAGAGCATCGCGAGTGCACCGCGCGATGACGTGAAATCGCTGGATTTGACCGAATTCTTAAGATTCCTATGGTTTTCCTATGATTTCAGCAAGAGAGCCCGGGCGGGAAATTTGTACAATTTTTGTGAAAAAGCATTGGGTTTTTGATGTTTTTATGTTGAAATGCTTGCAAACACACGGTGTTCGGTAGGATTCTGACATGAACGCGCGCGTGTGCTCTTTGTGGTATTTTTTGCAATGGATTATCGCCGTGGACGACAGGACGTCCATGTCGAGAGGAAAAAATAAGAAAAATGTTGATTTTATATTGTTTTTTACACGTTAGGATGGGACCCCCCGGATGCGGCCCCTAATGGCCGGCCTGAGGGGGGAGTAGGAGTATATTCTAATAAGGAATAAGGATAGGAGGAGGAGGAGAAGGAGGAGGAGGAGGAGGAGGAGGAGGAGGAGGAGGAGGAGGAGGAGGAGTACGAGTACGAGTACGAGTAGAAGTACGAGGAGGAGGAGGAGGAAGAGAAGGAGGAGGAACAGGAGGAGGAGGAAGAGGAGGAGGCGGAGGAGGAGGAGGAGGAGGATGGGGAAGATGATGATGATTATGAGGATGCTGCTGCTGCTGCTGATGATGATGATGATGATCATGATGATGATGACGATGCTGCTGCTGATGATGTTGATGGTGATGCGGCTAATTCGGATGATGATGATGATGACGATGCTGCTGCTGATGATGATGCTGCTAATGATGATGATGCTGATGCTGCTGATGATGAGGAGGATGAGGAGGACAAGGCTGGTGCTGATGATTATTATGATGCTGCTGATGCTGATGCTGATGATGATGATGTTGATGCTGCTGATGGTGATGATGATGATGATGCTGATGCTGCTGATGATGCTGATGCTGCTGATGCTGATTATGATGTGGATGATTCTGATGATGGTGCTGATGATGCTGATTCTGATGATGATGCTGCTGATGATGATGCTGCTGATGATGATGCTGCAGATGGTGATGATGATGCTCATGATGATGTTTATGCTGCTGATGCTGCTGCTGATGATGATGAGGTTGAAGATGATGAGGAT